AAGGAGGAAATCTTTGAATTATCACCGGAAATCTTGACCTAGTTTATTTTCTGATCATGGAATCAGATTATAAGTTTGTTTTTAAAAAGTTAAGGTCCAAAGATTTCATTCCTCTACTTAAAAAGAGTAACGAGAATCGTTGAAAAAATCTCAACGGAATGATGTGATTTATTTCTTACCGGAAAAGACTCGAACGAATTAATTTAGAAATGTGAATGTGGGATGATCGAGAATTGATTACTACATATTTTCAGCCGGTAAAACTGTAACGGGGCAGTATCGAAATTTTGGTATATAAAAAAAATTGTGAAATTTTTATATTGAGTATAGAACCAAAATCCTTGATTCGGTTCTGGTAACGTTATAAATCGTCGTATTGAACTGAGTTTTCTGCTAAAAATGCCGTAAATAGATTTGGGTTATGGTAGATTGATTTAGGAGCCGAAACAATCATTAGGGATATATATATAGTAGGCCACATATCGTACGAGTACAATAATACGATTATATATTGGATATAACGACTGGGATATTTTAAAACGAGCAGGAAAGAAAGACGATTTACCGAAAAGATAGAGTTGACTGCACAAAACCAAATGTGTAATCTACCAAATGTGTAATCTCGAATGGCTAAAAGAGCCTTCATTTTAATAATCCCAGTCGAAGATTTGGAGAGAGGGTGTTTTGAAAATGTTAGGGATTGAATTGAATATTCTAAAAACTTCGTTTTGGGTTATGAAAGTTACGGAATGAATGTGTACTTTTTGAAGATTTTGATTTGAGGGGTATTTTCGTCTTTTTGGGTGAAAAAAACACAGTCCCAGTCACACAAACCGAGATTGAACCGCACATCTAGCTTGCAGGGTCTTTATTGGCTTTGACTAAATTTCATAAGGGGTTACGGGGACTTTTTCAGCAATTGGAGATTACACAGAGGTGATTTTTGCGCAAAAAAAAAAAAAAAAAAAAAAGAAAAGAAAAGAAAAAAGAAACATAATTTGATGAGGAATCATAAATAATTAAATTGCTAAAAACACAATTTTATTTCATGTCACGACCAAATATAAGAAGAAGAAGAAAAAAAATATTACAATTTAATAATAAAATCGACAACAACCATCATTGCCATGAGTAATCTAGCTTGTGGTAACTGTTGTCCAAACCATAGTTAACGTAAAACCCGTCGTCCCTAGCGACGTAATTGTACGTCTTGTATGTGTCCGCCCACCCAGCATTAAAGACAACGAAGGAAGCAGTTTTCGGCCCGCACGAGAACCGACAAAAATAGAGAGTCGTCTCAAAAGCATTGGATTTAAAATTCCAACTGAAATTCTGGCCCGAAGAAAGTTGGTGAGTTCCGAAATCATCGTCTCTAGACGCACAATGAAGCAACAGAGGCAAAAACTGGGTGGGGAGACCATTGTAAACATGAATATGATGCTTCCTTAGGTAACTGTAAGATTCAGTTCTGTGTACTAAGTACAAGAATATTACAATAATGGAGAAAAGGTTCTTCATTTTTATTTTTTTATTTTTTTTGGTTTGTTTTTATTTAATTTGATTTATTGGGGACAAGGTGCTTAGCGTTATTATATAGAAGAATTAATAATAAGATTGCACGATTATGGGGATGTTATTTTGCTAATCGGAATGCTGCATTATGGGAATTGTTAATTTTAATGTAATTGTTTGAAAAGATTCACGTTTGACTAAAAGGGTATTTTTGTCTTTTTCACCAAATCAAGAATGGAAATGGTGAACAGTCAAAACCACCAATTATGCATTCATGAGAGTCAATTTCTGCCAAGATTTGGTCCTATTGAGGCCAGTTTAATATAATCTTAAGTCTAATGTAGTAGACGATTCAATAAATTAATACTCGATAAATTAATAACTTCGCTTAAATAATAATTTTTACGGTCTTACTCAGTAAGAACGTACTAAATTATTTCCTCGATAATTTAGCTAAATTAATAAAATTTTGTCAGTCCCGACTGTATTAATTTATAGAGGTTTAACTGTATAATGATTCTTCTTACCGGACAAGGCTCGAACGAGGCTCGTTGTTAATGTAGAAATGTGGGCGTGGGCCCGGTTTGAAAACAGGTCAGATGAACGCGGCATCTTCTTCGTGTTGTTCTAGAACAATGGTGGCAAGAGCAAGTCTATAGGCAGTTGATCTCATGTTTCTAACGAGAACGTATATCTCCTTCTTCCTCCGCTTTAACGGCAACGCCTTCCATTGCTCTCTTCGAAGACTCGATAGTAAACTCGCCTCGCAAAACGCCACCGACGTTGCCTTTTTGCTGCATGTCCGAAATTATAAGTGGTAAAAATCGATTTTTTCGCGAAGAAAAAATATTAAAAAAAAAACGATGAATTCAATCAGAAAGTGTTGGTCAACACTTGCCTTCCTCGTACAAAACCAGTTGTAATAAAGCCAATGGGCCACCTGTAGGATTTATCAGTAGCTTCTTCATCCTTGGGTAATTCGAGTTCCCATTTACCAGAAGGTAACTGCTTAAAGTACGATTTCTGTGAAGCTTGAGGTATTTGAAGTCGTTGGTCGTCACTTTCTGAGCTGCTGCGTGATTGATTCACAAACGATTATAATTATTTTTTTTTTCTTTTTTTTTTGGCAATAAATTGAATTCAAGAAAACAATTATGTAATTAAAGGAATATACCTGGCTGTCAACGGCATTACGTCAGCAGCATGGGGTGCACAGACAACTGCTCCTTGTTCGAAAGCACCTTCTTTACAAGCACGAAGAAGTACTCTGACATAGCACAATGTTTCTGCGCACTTCACTTCTGACATAACACTGTTGTCTGGTTCGAGAAATTCTTTGTCCCTCATGAATTTATACAAGCAATTCTTCTGACCGGTTATTTTCGGGAATAAAAGCAAATTTTCGCCACTGATATTTCGCAGGAACTCACTCAGCATGCAAGATGTCCTCGCTATAGCACCCTCGAAAATTCGTTGTTTCTCAATATCAATTTTTTCATTGTCTGTGTGGCTATAAGATTTTCCCGTTTTACTTGATCTTTGTTCTAAAGTAAGGTGCACACAACTCCATGGAGGAGGAATCGGGACTTGTGGTGGCCTTTTAGAAGGAGGAAGAAGGTTTGCTTTGTGGTTTGTTTCATCGGACTCCATTGCCATAAAATTCGAGTATGCGTTGCAATCGGGAAAGTCCGAGGGGAAGTAGGGTAATCCCATCTGCAGAAAGATGAAAATAGTGTAAACGAAAAATCTAAGTAATATTTTAATGTTTAACCTCCGAATTTAATTTACCTCGCTAGCAACCCATTGCTTCTCTCGTAAACCGATAGCATGAGCACCGTTTGACATAAAAGTAATCCAAAATGCTTTAACCCAACTTAGAGGGAGGATGACGGAACACCTGAAGAAATTGTGAAGAAAAGGTACGTGAATATTTGAATGATTTTTTACAGTATCCAATTACGAAAACGGCAAAAATAACAACGTAGCTGCATATATGTTATTCTAAATAAATTATATTTAAGTTCTAGTAAAAAAAAATGTACCTAGTAACTGATTCTTCACCGTCCTCGTGTTTTAACAGTAAAACAGGACAAATTCTAGAGTATTCTCTATCAATAGAAGCATTTTGAGGCCCGGAAATTTTACGACCAAGCCGAATAAATTCATTATGCCGATTATGCTTTTCCATACAGAGAACACTTTCTTCCATAGGAGGTTTCACCGATTTGCTGGCATCCCATAATTCACCGAACTCAAATACACAGTCAGCTTCATGGTTAGGCAATGAAGCAGTTTCCTCTTTGATTTGACCTTCTTCATTACTTAATGCACGAGGGTCTTTTACTACCAGAGAAACAACGGCAGAAGATGAAATCTGATTTCCGTTCTCGAAAATCGACAACTTCACTGATTCGCTAAGATTAGCATTCTCATCGCCCGAACATTTCTTCAGAAGCAGAGAGTTTGCAGAATTACTGCCGTTCCAAATAAAACGGAGAAGCGTCATTATAACACATATTTAGACTGCCAAGAAACTAACTAACATATAGCTTTGAGTATCGAACCTGCTGGCAGGTATCAGTGTCTTCTGCAGCAACTGAAACACTTTTGAGCCCATCAATTCCAATTTTGCTAGCTGGCCCTCACGAGAAACACAACGAGCCAAAGAACCCGTGCCTGTCTGAAATAAAAACTTGTTAGCCACATACAATTAATATCTACCGAGAAATCTTTTCTTGATGTTTCTTTCCACCCCCTACTTTCTTACGAAAAATTAAAATACTTAGTTCAGTAGAGAGCACTAGGAAGCTTGATCCCATAAATTTAAGACTAAAACGTATTATCAAATTTTTAACCCTACAGAACATCACAAAAACAGTTGACAAGAATATGATCCACAACTTCGTTCGACTGAATCAAGCGTATACCTGTCCTTGACATGCAGAATCTAAAGCATCGTATGCTTCTTGAAAAGCAGCAGCATGTATCCACACCCACAGCTGGCGCGTGATTGGACCACCATCGTTGTTCTTTTCTCCATCGCAAACGTCTTTGCTGTGCCCTTCCACATTAGTAGGGGCTCGTTGCCACAAGTAGGTCACCGGAGCAATAGGTGGGAGAGACGGTTTTCCAGAACGATGAAGCTGCCAAAAAACAATAAGTAATTAAAATTGTTCGCAAAAATACGACAATCTTAAAAGTGAAAGTTCATCCACCATGGCTGTTCCAAAGATGACTCCAGCAAGAATATCACGCGAGGTTTCTTCACGGCTTGCCGATGGAGACGGCACCAAGACAGAACTTAGAACCGACATTAAGGTGTCCTGGAAATAAATACAACAAGTTCAAAGACCGTAACGTATCGAGACCAAACACATGCCAAGCGGTCCACTGTCATAAAATCCGTGCGACTATTTATTACACATAATCTGAATTAAAAACAAGGAAACGGAATTCGAGACGCTACCTCTGGACCCTCCAACTGCACCAAGCCATAGTAGCTTGCGTCGTGCACAAGTACTCCCTGCTTTAATTTTTTCAAGAGAGCCCTTGAACCTCTTCCTCTGCATCACACGAATTACAGATATGTTACCTTACTTAGAAAGTCGAGACGTAATTTCTCATTACCTATGCAGAAGAGCATTAGAAACATAAACATATCTACCGTCTTCATATATATATATATATATATATATATATATATATACAGTTAAACCTCTATAAATTAATACAGTCGGGACTAGGGAAATTCTATTAATTTAGCGAAATATTAAATTATCGAGTTAATATTTTAGCACGTTCTCACCAAGTTGGGATCGGAAGAATTTATTATTTAAGCGAGTTTATTAATTTATCGAGGTTCTACTGTAATTAATTCAGCAATGGAACCAGAGATTGCATTACGCGCAAAAAGAGATTTCAAGTGCAAATGATTATTCGGCAAAGTAAACAAAACAAAACGAAACAATTACCTGCCATGAAGACCTAGAGGAACGTAGAAACCCCATATCTTTTTCATTGTGAACCGCTTGGCATGCCATACATGTGTTCTCAGTCTCTTGGTCCCATCCCCCGAAGTACTAAATCCATTCGGCAGGTTCTTCTTAAGTTCAATATTCCTTCGAACACGACGAGATATTTTCTTCTCGCCTTTCGACACAGAGTCATCAGTGCTATCAATTTTCCCCACTTCAATTCTCCTCCTTTTAAACTTCTTTTTCGCAACTCGATTGTCATGTCCAGTTGTTCTCCTTCTCTTGTTCCTTTGGGACCGAAAATTGTTATCCAAACGATCGGAAACGACAGAGTGAAGGCTCTCGAGCTCAGATGCTCTAGACTCTACAAATCTCCACACGTTAAGCTCGTGCGGCGCAGCTAACGAGACTCCAGATTTGCCCCCATTAGTAACCATATCACTGTTTTTTCACCAGATAATTAATTCTTAATTGTCGAATATAGTCAGTTACTACACATAAGCACTTTGTCTGAAGGAGGAAAAACAGGGGTTGGAACAATTATTCAATCAAAATTTCTGATTTTATTCAGAATGTAAAGCAAGTGAAAGAGGTGAAACTTTTAGGGCTAGAAAATCGGATTGTTACATTTTAGGTAATTTTGATTTTGATAATTCATTAATACAAAAATCCTTCACAATCAGAACTCAGTTCTACAAACAGTGAATTATGAAGACACAACTTTCAGCAAACAGTTACATAATTTTTCATGGTGTACCTGATTCAAATGTTCCGAGTAGCAACACGTGGTTCGCCGGCGGAGTATCAGGGTGAATTGAACGTGAGCGGCGGCGACGGACTGCTCCCTTAATTTTGTATGTGATTTACTCAGGTGGCGCCGACGTGGCGGCGTAGGTCACACAAAACACCACAACGACGTCGTATAGCAATATAAATTTTAGGATGAGAGAGAAGAACTTAATCCAATTTTCCCAATTAAAAGAAAAGAAAAAAGGGGGGAAAGTTATAGTTTTCACCCCTCAGGTTTACACTAATTTGATATTTGATCCCTCATGTTCATAAAAAAAATACATTTGATCCCTCAATTTATCGTTACTCCATCAGTTAAGGTGGTGATGGTCACAAGCTTGATTCCGTTATTTTGAACGGAAAATTGACGAAAATGACTAAAAGTATTGCATTTTTAAAATATAAGGGACCAAATGTGTAATAGTTACAAACTTGAGGGATGAAAATTGTATTTGTTCCGAAAACAATTTACTCTTATGAAAAAGCCAACCGAGACGACGTCGTCGTGGGAACTGAGTCAGCACCCTCTTTCTTCAACCCTTTTCTCTCTCTCTCTCTCTCTGTATTCAATCTTTTGATGATTTTCTGAAGCTCAAAAAACAAAGGAAAAGTGAAAAGAGAGAAGATGCTGGAGAAAATTGGGTTGCCGGAGAAACCATCGCTGAAGGGGAATGCTTGGGTGGTTGACGCCTCACATTGCCAAACATGTTCCTCACAGTTCACCTTCATCAATCGCAAGGTCAGTCATCAATTTTTACATACCCCCTTTTCTTCTCCTTGTTTAATTTAATCAATTGCTTTCAGATCTCGATTCTTCATCATGTTAATTGACGAACGCATTTCATATATTGGTTTATGATGTATTGATGTGATATAAAATATTCATGAATTATTTCATCTTTCTTCGATCGCGCGTTGGAGTTTTCCGTGATTTGAACTGTTTGAACTTCATGAGTTGGAAATTGGAATAATAATTTGTGGAAGTTGACGATTCAGAGGCCTGCTGTATTGGATTGAAGGATTCCGTTTTAGATTCGTTTGTAGACTGTTAAAAAGTTTTTTTTTTACTGTGTTTCTATTGAAATCTTCTCATTGTTGACTTTTGGATGTTCGAAATGGATTACCAGCACCATTGCCGCAGGTGTGGGGGAATATTCTGCGGCAAGTGTACGCAGCAGAGGATGGTGTTGCGTGGACAAGGCGACTCGCCTGTGCGTATTTGCGATCCCTGCAAAAAGTTGGAAGAGGCTGCGAAATTCGAGCGATATGGAAATAAAACTAGAGCTGCAAAAGGTACCTTCAAAATATCATGTTTCCGGATTCTAATATTGGTTTCTCCTCTAGATTCTTTAAATGCTCGCTTACGTTTTAGTTTTTTTCTTAAGAGCCCGTTTTATTGCAATGTTGATAAAGAAATTTGGTCTCACTTATCGAAATGTAATTCTCTTGAATTGATTCTGAAATTAACTAACTAAAGTGCTTATTCGATATTGTTAAATTAGTTGCAGGTGGCTCCAAATATGGTTCATCGAGAGGAGACGAACTTCTAAACCAAATTCTCGGTAACGATGGGAAAAACAACATTACACAGAACAACAGTGCATCATCTTCCAACATTCTAGAAGTACTCGAAGGTGGATATATAGATAGAAACCTCTCTCTCGATCAAAACACTGATGTTTTAACAGATGTAGGATCTGCTACACCTGAAGACTTGCGTCAACAATCTATCGCAGAAAAGGCTCGACATAGAACTTTAAAAGCCGAAGGAAAACCCGAAGAGGCATTGAAAGCCTTTAAGAGGGGGAAAGAGCTCGAGAGACAGGCCGCAGCTTTGGAGATATCTTTAAGAAAAAATCGAAAGAAGGCCTTATCATTCGCTGACAACACAGAGGATATTCTTCAACAAATCAAAGATGATTCGAAACCATCTCCTGATAATAAAAATAAACTCCCGAAAAAAAAGATAAAAGAAACCAACGATCTTTCTTCTGATCTCAAAGAATTGGGATGGTCGGATTTAGATATCCGTGCTGCTGAAAAAAAGCCAGCAGCATCTGTGGAGGGTGAGCTCTCTTCCCTTTTGAGGGAAGTATCTCAAAAGCCGAATAAAGAGAAGCGAATTGGCAGCAGTGAAAAGTCTTCTCAGGTTATCGTTCATAAGAAAAAAGCTCTTGAACTGAAACGTGCAGGGAATCTTCTAGAAGCCAAGGAGGAATTGAAGAGGGCGAAAATTCTCGAAAAGAAAATCGAGGAAGAGGAGCTTCTAGGCGAGAGTGACGAATCTGATGACGAACTTTCGTCACTAATACGCGATATGGATGGTGATGACAAAGAAGGCGATCTTTTGGCGAGATATGATAAACAGAATCTTGATATTGATTTCAGTCAGTTTGGTGGGATTGCGGATAATATTCCTGTAGATGGTAATTTTGAAGTGACGGATGATGATATGAATGATCCGGAAATAGCTTCTGCTTTGCAATCTTTCGGGTGGGACGAAGATACCCCTGATCCCGAGATTGCATCTTCTGATAAGGAATCAACTGTAACTGAGATTCGGTCTTTGAAAATAGAAGCTTTGAATCAGAAAAGAGCAGGCAATACTGTAGAGGCGATGTCACTTCTAAGGAAGGCTAAATTACTAGAAAAGGAACTCGAGAATTCTGATTCGATGAATACGGGGCCTGATATTATTGTGAAAGAAGTTGCAAGTCCAGGTCCTAAATTGGCTCCAAAGAGTAAACTGGTGATCCAAAGGGAGCTTATTGCCTTGAAAAAGAAGGCTTTGACTCTTAGAAGAGAAGGTAAAGTGGATGAATCGGATGAAGAATTGAAAAAGGCGAAGGCTTTGGAAGAGCAGCTTGAAGATATGAATAAAGCTGCGGCACCTGTCATACAGCCAAGTGTTGATGTAAATGCTGCTCTTGGTAATGTAAATGAAGAAGACGAAGAAGTGACGGATCAAGATTTGGGGGACCCGGCTTATGCTTCTCTTTTGAAGAACTTGGGCTGGGACGAGGAAGAAAGTGTGACAACTTCAAAAGAAAATAACGGGCCTCCGAAATATACCAAAGATTCTCCTATTACACAATCTGTTGGTAATGTCGAAGAACCAGTGAAGTCTAGAAAAAGTAAGAGCGAAATTCAGAGGGAACTGTTGCAATTGAAACGAAAAGCTCTTACACTCAGACGCCAAGGAGAGGGCGATGAAGCTGATGAAGTGTTGAATATGGCGAAATTATTGGAGGCACAGTTGGAGGAATTTGAAAAGCCGAGCCAAACGGAATATTCACTGGAAAATAACGAAAAGAATTCACCCATTGATGCTATACAAAATACTGAATCTTCTTTTCTTGAAGTGAATCCACAAGTCAAAGACAGTGTTACACTTGAAAAACCCATTACACTTGAAAAACCGGAAGAGAAGCCGTATATTCAAGAATTGCACTCTTCACCGGAAAATTCTATTTCGCTGCAAAAAGAGATCATGGCCCACAAGAGGAAGGCACTTGCATTCAAAAGAGAAGGAAAACTAGCAGAAGCTAAGGAAGAGCTTCGTCAGGCGAAGCTATTGGAGAAGAGCGTGGAGAACAGCAACGCCGTGCCTCAGAGTGATGACATCATCGCTCCTGTCATCAACAAAGACGCACCTGCCATCGACAAAGACGGCAGTCCTAGTGCGGCGCCACCCAAACAGCTGTCGGGCCGTGATAGGTTCAAGATACAGCAAGAGTCGCTTGCTCACAAGCGGAAATCACTCAAGCTGAGAAGGGAAGGCAAAACTGCAGAAGCTGATGCCGAGTATGAATTGGCTAAGGCTTTGGAATTGCAGTTGCAGGATTTGGATGCACCGGATTCTGGTGAACCGGCTGGTGATGTTAGCGTCGAGGATTTTCTTGATCCTCAGCTCTTGTTTGCTTTGCGGTCGGTTGGATTGGAAGATGATCGAACTAATAAATCATCTCAGCTGGTTGTAGAAAAGCCGGAGTTGACTAAAGTCAACGCGGATCCTGATTTGGAAAGGGAGCAGCTGGTGGAGCAAATTAGGGCGGAGAAAGTCAAGGCGTTGAGTTTGAAACGTTCTGGTAAGCCAGCTGAGGCATTGGATGCTTTAAAACGAGCCAAACTTTTCGAAAAGAAACTGCAAACCCTAACTTCGATATGAAGTGTTTGGGAATTCATATTTGAGATTTTGAAAATGCTACTAAATTTGGAAATATTTCGACATAATTGTTTGGCGCATTATTCTGAAAACGACATGTATGTGTGTGTGAACTTTTTTCGAGATTGTAAATAAATGGTTTTTTGAATTTCGATTTTTCGTTCTTGAGAATCGATTTTCTTGTAAACCACGACCGTGTGGTATTCTGTACATAATATACTTGCATACTTTTTATTACTGCACATTAATAGCATACAAAAGACCACATATACAATAAGAATTACACACTTTATTGAGAAATAACCAAACAAAGATACATACAAATTAACACTACAATCATAATATTAAATATGTATTATTAGTTTCAAATTATTTCAGATAGTTCGTTTATTTTTAAATACCTTCGTCTTCGTCACAATCGACACCGACCCAACTGATAAACGAGAAGAGAAATTCTTTGAAGCTAACTTTTCCATTCTTATCCCAGTCCATTTCTTCTGCATAAGCAACAATTTTTCACTGTTAAAGCATCAAATTAGATGTCAAAGAAAATAATAAATATGAGAAGAAAAAAAAAGGGCTAATAACTAAATCGAGTTCGTGTGATATGCGAAGGGGATTTCTCCTTAGGAGAAGCCTCGTTCAATGCCTTGACCACGTCTTTACGGTTCAACTTTCCGTCACCGGTTTTATCGAGAAATAAAAACACTTCGACTATTGTATTGAACGTTGCTTCGATTTTCGGTGAACACATCTTTAGTGTCTGCAACAAAAATTGAATAAAAAATTGAATTAAATAACTTCAAACGAAAAGAATTGGTGAGGTAAGAAAAAAAAACGAGAAGGTGTCACTGCATATTACTGCATGAGACGAGCTAGTAGAGGAATCCGTAAGGAGATAATTGAGACAGAGAAGAACTATGAACTCTTTGAATTGTATCCCTTCATTTTCATCCATGTCACAGTAGAGAAAAAGATCGTCGATTTCATCGTCTTTTACACTGAACTCTAACGCGTGTAAGCATTTCTTGAGCTCGTCGTTGTCAATAGTACCGTTTGAATCCTCATCTACATTAAGAAGGCAAAAAACGAGACTAGTTATCGAAGAATCGAAGAAAAAATTAAATAAATATGCACGATTGCTTACCATATTTCTCGAATACTTGTCTGATTTCTTTCAGTCCGTCTCTGAACTGAGGGAATTTCATGATTATGCTATCGATTGATTTGAAATTGATGTGGTGCGCCGAAGTGCTTTTCTTGATCTCCATCATTTTTCGTTCGAGCTTCGTGTCTAGTCTTTTGTAAGTATTTGGCAATAACACATGACAGCAAATTATATCTTGTGCTTTGTCGTACAACGATTTCAGCACTGATGTGCCTTCAAAAAATATCAAGGAAATCGTGTCAAAAATCATAAAAATGCAAAATTCTATTACAACCCAGTGAAATTACACAAAGTATAAAAAAATACACACATCCATGTGGGTATGTGTGTGTGTGTGTGGATAAATGATGGATCTTTACAACATCTGCCCAGAAAACAGTGGAATTTTTGGATCAAAGGATTGCTAAATACGAATTTATTTTTACATTATTTTAGTAAATCAAGATTCTATAAACCCTAAACACAAATCACAATAAGCAGTACATGATCAATTTCTCTGCAAATTATAATATTCATAAATAATCTAAAAATAAATAAAAATCAGTTCTTTGTAATAAAGGGTTACATAGGAAACATTAAAATCAACAATCAGTAATATGTACATTGATCAATAAAATTAAAATCTCTGATAATATAAAGCTGAAACACACAGCACCAAAAACAAATAAATAAATAAATAACAAAGAACTTACCTTGTGAATCTTTCATGGTTTTGGAAGTAAACACAGAGCCCAGAAAAAAAACAAGAGAGAGGAGTTAGTATGTAACTAAATGTGTAATTAAATAAAGAAAATTTAGAGGGAATAATAGCTAGGGTTACTTAATAGCAGAAAAAGTAAAGTAGAAATTGTATAGAATATGCTGCAGCTGTACTGTATGTAATGCTTATGATGAGTATCAAAAAACTCCCTCTCTCTCTCTCTCTCTCTTTCTCTCTCTAGTTTGTTTCTCTCTCTTGAGTGGAGATGCAATCATGGATTTGACCACAAAGTCCATTCTTTTATTTGATTCTTCAAAACACACAGAAGAACACATACAAAAACACACAGTGTATGGAGGAGAAGTGGTAACGGGAATAAATTCAAGATTCTGTAAATGGGTCCGGTCAATTTTTGGGTGTTTGATAGATTCTACCTCTCCTTTTTTTTTTGTTATTATTATTTTATTTTTATTTTTTTGCATTTTATTTTATTTAATTTTCCAAGTTCTTGTTTGGAAAAGTTTGGACTTGTAATGAAGACACTAGCACTAGCTTCCATGTTAATTTACTTGAATACTTTGCTATTTGCCTTTTGCAATGATGGTCTTATTGTTGGAGTATGAAAACTCTGACGCCTATTGATTCGAGTTCGATTTCTCTCACTCGGGTACTTTTTAGATTGCACCAGAATTTGCTGAATGCGAGTGTAATTTACAGAGTGCTCGTTTTTTTAGCTAGCTGAAACAAAAATTGTAAAAAACGAACGAGATTACCAAGTGCACATTTACGAGTATAAAAATTATTACGAGATATCGAAAAGTCGCCTCGTTCTTCCATCTTAAAGAGTGTCTCTCATATTACTCTCACATTTTGAAACAAAGATAATCATATGATGTGTCTCTTGGCTTGTAAATATCAGATTGTGGTGCAGCAGAAACTGCATTGTTGCACAAAACGAGTGCAAACTAGAGAACATTCCACATAATTCAGAAGATTATGTTGAATTTGACACCATAAGGACGAAGGTGGAAAACGATTTATAGTTGAGGGGATGAGTGTAATTATCCAAACATGAGGTGTTTTTTCGTAATTTGACCTTACCTATTCATTTTTTCTATTTTTCTAGGTGAAATTTAAGATCTAAACATTAACATAAAAGCGCGTTTCTCCACATCAACTTTCCCTAAATCGCGTTTCTACAATTTCCTCTGTTCTCCCCAACAAAAAACCCTGCTCAGAAATGTAGTAGTGATTTAGCTGAAGAAAAAGCTCAGACATCCTCGAAAATGGCCGCTCGCTTAGCCTCCTCCTCCAAACGCCTCTCCTCTTTTCTTATCTCATCGAAAGGTACCTCCCACGCGCTCTTCTGTGTAGTGTTTGCACGCGTGTGTGTGAATTCATATTTGCTTCTGTATATATATTGCCCAACTCTTATGAATTTTTCATTTTACAGTGACTCCATTTTGTCGGGCTTACTCCTCCACAAACATTGTTGGTGAATCGCCAATTCTTGTAATCTCTCGATTTTGTATGATTCCATTTTGGAGTTCACTGATTTTATTTATTCATTATTATTTTAATTGTTTTTTTAATAAATTGAACTTTTGATGGGTGAAGGTGAGGGATTTTATTCATTCGGCTCTGTACGATCCGGAACATGGCTATTTTTCGCAACGATCGGCCTCCGTCGGACAACTCGATAGCAGCATTAAGTTCAATCAGCTTCAAGGTTTGTTGTTCAATTCTTCCTTTAATTTGCAATTATTTTCGACTACTTTTTATTTCGCTGAAAAATGGAATCGCTGTTATCGTTTTCTCGTAATTTATTAGTCGAATCTTTCGATTGCTTTTTACGTATTCATTTTCATCGGTCTAAGTTATGAAACGATTTGTTAGGGCGGAAAGCGTATATGAAGTACCTCGATGCAATTTACAAGCGGAGTGATATATCATGGTTTACTCCAGTCGAGCTATTTAAGGTTAAACACTAGAGAACTTTGAGCTGAATAAATTCGAATTGTTTAATCACGAATCTTGCTGAAAATGTCGAGATAGCACATGCATAAAAACTGCTCTTTCTTCATCTTTCGATTCTTATTATTCTCGTTTCTTGTAACATCTTATATTCTCAGCCTTGGTATGCCCATGGAATAGCCGAAGCAATTATGCGGACAGCAAATTTTTCTGTTCCCCTGAAAGTAAGTTCGATTCTTCCGATTTGCCTTTATTTATGTAACTTTACTATAAAATTATTTCTGTGTTACTTTCTTATTTTTCAGATATACGAGATTGGAGGTGGATCGGGAACTTGTGCAAAGGGTGTGATGGATTACATAAAACTGAATGCACCTACAAGAGTTTATGATAACATGACTTACGTGTACGTATTTTGATAGAAATATCATCGAGGATGACTTTGGATGTATCGATTTTTCCCGTGCTAGAAATTTGAGTCGAATTTGAAAATATTCTTTTGAGGTGCTTGCTTGTGGAAATAATAATAATGACCCTTTAGTTTTGTTGCAGTTCAGTAGAAATCAGTCCTACACTTGCCAAAAAACAACTAGAAACTGTCGGAGAAGTAGATAGCCACCTGGCAAAGTTTAGCGTAGAATGTCGTGATGCGGCCGATCCAAATGAATGGGGTACGCTGCTCTTATTCTGAAGGATTTTTTTTCTTTTACCTGTTACTTTTACGTATACGTATACACTCACACACACACACACACACACACACACACACACACACACGCACACACACACACACACACACACACACACACACGCACACGCACACGCACACACACACACACACACACACACACACACACACACACACACACGCGCGCGCACACACACACACACACACACACACAAATTGTGAAGTGAAGTGTTTTCAGGGCTAACTCTGAATGTATGTTTGTTCGAACAGGTCACGAGGAGCAACCTTGTTGGGTTATAATGTTAGAGGTATGTAGCTTCTAACATCCTTGATATTATGGTTTGTTTTATTTATAGAAATAAGGTCAAATTTTGTATAAGCCCATAGGCACCAACTTATTTGCAAAAAATGTCCAAACCAAAATCTCTTTTACCTCAAAGAACAAAAAATCTTATACTATAGCCCATGTTTTTTTTGCTAAAAATAGCTGAAATGTTCAACTTTGTTTTTTAAATATTTTTAACAACCAATATATATGTATATATAGTAAAGAAGATATTTATTTATAACTAGTCAAGAAATAGTTCATCTTAAAATTGTTTCACCAATTTTTAAACAGTCAAGCAAAATCACAAAAAATCGTATACTATAGCACACGTTTTTTGCTAAAAGTAGCTGAAATGTTCAAAAAATTAAATAATATTTTTTTCATCCTCAATTAATAGTGTAGAAGATATTTATTCTTAACTAGTCATAAAATACTTCATCTAAAAATTGTTTCACTAAGTTTCGAACAGTTAGGCAAAATCACAAAAAATCGTTTACTATATATAGCACACGTTTTTGGTTAAAAGTAGTTGAAATGTTAAAAAAAAAATTATTATTATTTTCACTCAATTAATAGTTTAGAAGATGTTTATTCATAAGTAGTCAATAAATGGTTCATCTAAAAATTGTTTTACTTATTTTTTAACAATTAAGCCAAATCACAAAAAATGGTATACTAGCACACGTTTTTTTTGCTAAATGTAGTTGAAATGTTCCAAAAAAAAATAAAAAATTTAACCCTCAATTAATAGTGTGTAGAAGATGTATTTTCATGACTAGTCAAGAAATAGTTCATCTTAAAATTGTTTCACTATTTTTTTAACAGTCAAGCAAAATCACAAAAAAACCATATACTATAATACCACACGTTTTTTGCTAAAGTAGCTGAAATGTTCGAAAAAAAATTTAAATTTTTTTCAACCCTCAGTTAATAGTTTAGAAGATGTTTATTCATAAGTAGTCAAGAAATAGTTCATCTTGAAATTGTTTCGCTAATTTGTGAATAGTCAAGCAAAATCACAAAAAATCGTATACGCACACGTTTTTTGCTAAAAGTAGCTGAAATGTTCAAAAAAAAAATTATTGATGTCTTTTGCAACCATGAAATTCCTTATTAGATTCTTTTGTAGGTGCTCGATAATCTTCCACACGATCTTATCTACTCTAAAGATCAAGTCTCATCTTGGATGGAAGTGTGGGTTCAAAAGACACGCGACGGGTAAGCTATTTGTGCTTTATTTGCTGGATTAGATATTTAATTTGTTTCTCCTAATGTGCATAGTACTCGATTTATTTCTTGGAACTGATCGTAGATGTTTGTTTATTTGCTAATCTTTGACTCAGAATTGTTCTAATATGATCGAGCCTATTTTCTTCCTTCTTTTGATTTTCTTTTTATTTTCTATTATATATATATATATATATATATATATATATATATATATATATATATATATATATATATATATTCATATCTTATTGAATAGGCAAGAACTGTCTGAGCTGTATAAGCCCCTAGAAGATCCATTAATTACGAGTTGCATGGAGATTCTTGATATCTCAAAAGATGGTAGTACACGGGGAAGCATGGCTGGTTCATTTGCGAAAAATATTTGGGCTAAAATTTTCCCGAGTCCTCGAAAATGCTGGCTACCAACCGGTTCTTTAGTAAGACATTGATTACTGAATTTTTATTTTTATTTTGAAATTCTTGTGATCTTCATATTTTGGATTTAATACAATAAATGAAAAATTACAGAAACTTCTCCAAGTTTTGCATGGTGCTTTACCGAAGATGTCTTTAATTGCATCCGATTTCAGCTACCTTCCTGATGTTAGAATACCTGGTGAACGAGCTCCTTTGGTTTCAAGCAAGGTGATACTTTTTTCTTTTACGACACACTTTTTGTACTTAATTTTACGGCATCAAAATAATCAGGAAATTGTTTCCGTATGGAATAGTTATTTTCTATATTACTATTTATAATAAATATTAAATAATATTGTGTGTATGTATGTCGTAATTTATTTGCAAATTTGTACTTGTCTTTGCAGAAAGATGGCAAAAGCTCGGATCTCAACAGCTATCTGGATGCAAAGGTTATTTTCTTTCTCAATTGAATTAGTAATGGAGGTTACATTATTTGAAAAATGAAATACGAAGAGAAGTTACATTTTTTAAGGATGAAACTCGAACAATAAGATGGGATGTCTTGTAAAATTTTAACGAGGGTTGTATTGGTTATTATAATGGTTGACTCGTAAATTTTCTCGAGTTTTCATACAATCCGATAACATATGTTTTCTTCACAGGGTGAAGCTGATATATTTTTTCCGACGGATTTTTGGCTTCTTGAAAGAATAGATCATCATTGCTCCGTAAAATTGAAGCCGCGTGATATTTCTTCCAAGAAAGGAAAGAAGAGGCGCACACTTACGGTAATTTCTCACCTTAATTAATGTTTGAAAATGCTTGTAATTCTAGAATTAATTATGGTGGCTATAATTCTATTGTTCAATTTCTTTTTTATTATTATTTTTTTATTTCTTCAAATTTTGATAGTTTCTTTGCTGTTTATTTAGTTACTAATATTTTCTGTTTCGACTTATTAGCTGGACACGTCATCGTTCATGGAAGAATTTGGTCTTCCGACAAAGACGAGAACCAAAGATGGCTACAACCCTATGCTTGATGATTTCAAGAACACTAAATTCTATCTTAGTGTTCCAACACATAATACCAAATAAAATGGCAGACGTAAATCGACATCCCTTTCTATTTTCAAGATGCAAACGTGCGTCCGTCTAAAGAAGTCGTTTTTTTCCAATCTTGCTTTGGACTGAAAATGAATTACAAGAAAGCCCTCGACGAATCACTTCTTCAGTCTCGGCTACTAATCGACATTGATGACTGACACAACTGAAGGCAAATTACCCAAGGCAAATGATCGAACGGAATATTCTTTTTTTCTTTTTTGTCACATTTGAACGAGTTATTGTCGGCTGATACATTTGTTAAGCATCGAGTTATTGGTTTCTCGACTATTAATCATTTTTCTTAAAGAATGTCGAAGTTTCTCGATTTGGATCTCTGTTGAATTATAATAATTATACAGACGAAAACGGTTAGATATTCTATTCGTAATCACAAGTTTCGACGAGACGATTGATTTCCAAAGAAATAATAAACAGTAAAAATTAAATAGAATTAATCAAAGTAGATAATAATTAATGATATGTATATTCTGGAGAATAACAGCAAGCTTTTAATTAAGCAGCTAAAAAGCTGAAAGCCAGCTTACTCATCCATCCTTCATTATCAATATATGACATTCTTGTTAACTGCTCTACTTCTCCTTCACTTAACTTCTTTGCCCACTTCACTCTCTTTGACGTGTTTGATCCTAAACCCCGACAATTATGCTCCGCAAATGTCAGTTGGTACCTACAAAATATGCCCGATTATCACAACATTTCAGTCAAGAGAGAGAGAGAGAGAGAGAGAGAGAGAGAGAGAGAGAGAGAGATTGTCAATACTCGCGGCCAACGCTGAACCAAGAATCCCAGCCTTGAGGAACAACAATGTCAGACATAGAAGTGTTGTAAAACACGACTCGTGCGTATTCTCTCCAAGGCCTTCCAAGAAACGTCTTTCCGTTTCCAACTATGTTGCAGTCTTTAAAAACGAACCCGTTCGTTTCTTCTGCATGAGATCTTCCCTGAGCTGTTATGTATCCTGGGATTCCATTTAGAGCTCTCGAAACCACTGATATTGTACACCTCTACAAATCATCCCGAAAACCGAAAGAAAAAAAATCAAGAAAGTCAAAAATCATATTAATTAGATGAGATTTTTGTAATTTCTCTTTTTCGATTTTTTTTTTTTTTACCTCGTAAAGGGATTGGCCAGAGCCAAAGATGAAATCGACTGCTCCTTGAATTGTGCAAAGTTTGAAGTAATGCCGACCTCGTTCATCCCATAATGTATCTTGTAAACCGAAAAATCCACATCTGTAAAATACCGTTTTATCTCCTTGTATCACAGCTGCAACAGCTGTCCTCATTGGATTATTATTATTCAAGCTACCACTATTTGGATAGTTGTAAGAATTCTGCTTCGAAAAAATAATCATCATGTAAGAACCAAAAAAAAAAAAAGAATATATCGACTCACTTTGAATTTATTCGAAAAATTTTCTTACCACAAATGTGATGCACTTAACAATAGTGTTATTAGCCTGACAAGTGAAGGTGGCGCTTGTTGCAATAGAATCATGATCGTCCCAAACGATGTAAGTTTTTCGTTTCCCTTCTCCTTTTAGGTAAATGAATTGCTTATTATTCGGAATTCGAACTTTTTCTCTGCAAATGAAAAACATCCTTAATAATTTACGAAGGCGAAAAAAAAAAAACAATTAAACAACTCAAGAATATAAGGATATAAAATAACCTGTATACGCCTTTCTTGATGTGTATACAAGTCCATCTTTTGTTATACGAAGGCACAGAATCGATAGCAGCTTGTACTGTAGTGAAATTGCCTCGTCCCGACGGATCAACATAGATTGTCGGATAAATTTCCGGCTTAATATTCCTACTTTGCAATGTGGATGAAAATGATAGAACAAGAACAAGAAATGTGCACACAGACAATTGCAAAGACAGCATTTTTATTTTTTCCTTTTGAGTTTTTTTAAGATAGTTTTTTTTTTTATCGATAAAAAACTGCGACCGAGTGATGGTATGAAGAAGAGGTGGAAGATGGCTATAAAGACTGGAAAATTGAGTTAGTTATGCTAAAAAACACATAAAATGTGGAAAGCATTAATTTGGTTCAGTACAAACATTGAATGGCTTTGCGAGGAACTAAGGCATGGGTCGAAACACTTGTCTTATCATCGTACAATAATTTTCGTTTCTTTCATCATACCTTAATATTTAAGAATATATATATATAGTTTTTTCATAAATTATATTACAAGTGAGATGGGAAAGGACAAAGAGTATTTAGTGAATGAAATCTGATTTTAGAAATCAAGAATCTGATTTCATGAATCTGTATACATCACACACACACACACACACAAACACACACAGTAACAGTATTAAAAAACTATATTATACATATTATTATTTTATTAAAAAAATTTAAATAATGCAAAGTATTATAATTTCACATCTTCAAAGTTGATATATGCTGATAAGAAGATGGAGAGAGTATTGATGTATTAATTGTAACATCAATCACAATATTTATCAAATTAACCATAATTAATTAATCTACATTTTATCTTAGTGATAGGGATTGATATTAAAAATGATCACAAACATTAATTTCATTTGCATATTTTGTTTTTGTTTTCATATGCATATTTTGTTTTTGTTTTCATAATGCAAACGGAGTCGACTTGTAACCCGAGAGATAAAACGGGAAAAAAGGGAATAAAATAGAGCTTCACATGTAAAGCACTCCATATGTTTTAATATATGCTTCACTTAAGATTTTTACACACGTTAAGAAAGTCGAATCTTATGGAAAAAATAGCATATTGCAAAGACTAAAATACCCTTGATCTGATAAGAGAGAATCGGACTAATATGGGTAAAACCGGAGAAAAAATGTGTTTTATACATCGTTGAAATTCTAAAGTGACAGATAATATGGAAACAGTTATTTTCGAAAATACGAAAGCGAAAGCCGTCATTGTGAAGATGCTTGAGAAGAGAGGGAAAAGAGATGGCTAAAAGGCCTAAAGTTCTTGATTTTGTGTTGCAACAATTTTGAGCAAATTGTGGAAATTAATGTTGTTTCCCATGTTTTAGTTTTCAACTTTTTTTTTCTCTCCCCCCAAAAAAATTTCCTTTTTGCATGGGGAACATGTGTTTTATTGCTTCTTAACCTTTGAGATGGTTTGTTTCTTCTTATACAAGAACTTATGTACATAATTGTTGTTGTATGTTACATGCAATAATTTGTGCAACTTTCTTCACCATGCCATGTTCTGTTATGGTACATAAATGCTACTCACCTAGTAGTTTGGGTTATTTTACACCCGGTGAAGACTACATCGAGTGCTTTTACCGTTGATCTACACACACCAATGTGTGTGTGTGTGTGTATTAATATAAAAGATCTACCCTGATGTAGCATAGAATAGACCATGTATTTTGATAGGACAGAATGCAATTTATTTAATTAGTCCAACGTATATTTAGTACATGATTAACTTATGTTTGTGATTTATTATATACAATAATCCTTATTAGTGGATAATTAATTCATTGAATTGTGTAATAAAAGAAGTTGAATTGGACCAAATATCAGTTTCATGTGTGTTGGACCAAACTGAAGACACTTTCAATTAAAAAAGGAGGTCTTGGTAGAAGACAATCTTCTGTTGGATATACTAACTATTCATTAATTGTTGACTTAAATTATTAAATCTTGTAAGGAAAACATAAACACAATCAAAGAGCTTAAAAAGAATCATGGTTTGAAAGGAAAACATAATCCATCCATAATACTTCAAGAAAGTCGGTAAGTCATAAGAAAATCCTCAGATTGAGTATTTAATGAAAGGAAACATAATACTCGAAAATAATTTTAAAAACTAACAATTCAAATCCAAACATACCATTTGTCCGACAAAATTGTAGCTTCAGAAAATATTTATGATGCTAATTTTAATACTTGATTGGAGCGATAATGTCAAGCTGAGAGCCGAGTTTCTCCTCAGCAATCTTTTCGGCCTTGAGCCTCAGCTTGGTCAATTGCTTCCTCCTCAAATATGTCGTCTGTGCCCTTTCCTTCCTCTTGTTCTCCAGCTCCTAAAATAAATAAATTTTAAAACATTAACACAATATATATATATATATATATACACACACATAATAAGCAAGATTATGTATGACTTTAGACCACATGCCGGAAATTTATTTAGGAAAAAAATTAGACAAATGTAGAGGCAGTGAAGAATAATGATGTATTGAGATTTAATGGAAATTAAACTTGCCTTAATAGTGTCGTAGTGGTTCCATCCGACTTCTGATGAAAGTCTACCCAACAGACAGTATTTGTGGCCAGCTTGAAGCCTCAAAACCCTAATGATATTAAACAGATAACGATGATGAGTTGGAAAATATGACGATTTCAAAAATATAAATGAATTGAAATGAAAAGTTCCAAGAAAATTTACTTGAGTGCGTCAGGAATAACCATCCTCTTGATCTTGTCGAATGGTGGTGGGACACCCTCGTACACCTTCAAACGTGCAAGTGCAGCTGCTCCACGCTTGGTCTTGTGGGGAATCATACTACAATATAAGTCGTGATATAATGTAAGAAAATATGAAGAATAAAATGCACACGAATTAACACCATCGTAATTTCTTATTACTTCAAAAGAGAACCATTCATTTAAACTAGTTTCACAGAAATAATCTGCCCTCAAAACACTTATATCAATCACGCGAGGCGTAAAAAACACATACTATATACCAAGAATGTTAAGGCAATGTTTGGTAGCATTTTGTGTTGCTTCTACATTTAGCCAAACACATTGTTTTTCCGTAGCAATTCAAAATAGTCTACTCTAATTCAAACAACGCATTAACTAAGAAACGAAACAGACTTGCTAGAAATTAAAAAAAGTAACCAAAATTTCGTTATATCGGCTTCCTATATGCTGATTTTTTAAAATTTTAAATATTTTTTTAAAGGATTAAAAACAAAATGCTGGCCTTCAAACCATAGTTCTCTGGCCTACTTCAACGAACACTCTCATTGCCCAATATTGTCAAAAAAAAATATTTACGCTATTTCAAGTTAACCGACCCACACAATACAAACGAGAAAATTGCAGTTTTGTTGATCAAGAGCAAAAAAAGTGACAGAAATTGATAAAAACTAAATCACAAAGTTCGATACTTACTCCCACTATACAAAGTGGAATATAACCCAACAGCATAGCAGTACACACACTAAGTATCAAATTAATCTACTCTCAATAACACACATTTCTAATTATCAGATTGGGCAAAACAAATTTTACACATTCAAATCAAATGAACGATTGTTATTTACGCACAGGTGTTCATATACACTATCGATACATACAAAGTGAGAGATTCCCAATCAACATTTCAATTTCAAACCACGATCCAACAAGTATCGAAAAAATCAAGGAAAAAATGAATTGAGACGGAGAATAAAAAACCGTACCCACGAATCGTTCGCCACAGAATCTTCGAAGGGGCGCGGAAATGGATGGGTCCGTGAGATGGCTTGGTGTTCATCCTCTTGCGGAGAAACCTGAGATACTTCATCTTTTGACGGACGAGTCCGCCGGAAAGGCAGATTTCCTCGCATCGGACAACCACCACTTTTTGGCCGTTGAGAAGCTCCTTCGCCAGAATTGAGGCCAATCGACCTAGCATGTGGTGGCGAGCATCCACCACCACTCGTTTCGCGCATATACCTGAACCTGAAACCATTTCTCCTCTCTCTCTCTCTCAGTCTGATCTCTCTCACACTTCTCTCTGTAACAGAGTGAGGCGGAGGAAGAAGGGTGTTGATATGAATGGGGTGATTAGGGTTTATTTTGCTGCTGGGATGGGTTTCTACATTTAAGTGGGCTGGGCTTCAATTACAAATTATTGCATATATTATTAATTGTGGATTATGATATCAAAATGGGAAATTTACGCTTTTACCCCTCAAGTTTGTACTGATTTCACATTTGGCTTCCATATGTTTCAATAATTTAACACTTTTGGTCATTTCCGTCAATTTACCATTATTCCGATTGTTAAGGCGGTGATGGGCACACACTTGATTCCGTTATTACTAACGGAAAAGTAAATAAAATGACTAAAAATGTTTAACTTTTGAAACATGAGGGGCCAAATGTATTTTTTGTGAACATGGGGGGCAAATGTATTATTTAAATAAGTATATTTTGATTGTAAGAATATATTATTTAGAAGTTCAAATTAGTTGTAATTTTTTATTGTCAAAAATATTATTAATTTCTTCATTAGTTGTGGCTAAAAAATATGTAATAAAAATTAAAAACTGTGGAAATTAGTATAAAAATACATAACTAAAATTTTCATGTCAAACAATTTGAATAACACAAGAATAAGAAAATGCAAAAAGGCCTGCATTAAGAGTGCAATGAAACAACTTAAAACGATGGGAAAAAGGAAGACGAAAATATATATAGTACAACAAATTCCAAATCCCGGTTCAAAGGAGTCGAAAAAATTTAAAATTACATTAAAATCAACAAAAAGCCTGAAAAATTAAAACTATCGAGATTCTGCAAAACAAAATAAAATCACGACGTGTATTCGAATGGTTGAGGTGGTGCAGGCTCTTCATCGACAGCCATTGATGAGGCTGCGCCCTGCTGCTGTCCAGCTGCTGGAGGTGCACCGGCATTTGCTGACGTTGACGAGAGAGAATCTGTGAGGGCTAGTACTTCGGCTTCGTTCGGACGGAGATCTTTCAACAGCACAAATCCCGAGGGTGAGGATTTCACTGGCACGTATCTAGAATCTTCTAGAAACTTGACAAACTTCTCTTGGGCGGGGACCACTCTGGCGGGATTGGTCAAGATTTCAAATGTAGCCTCTGGTTCCGCCTTCTTCTCTACAGTGCTCTCAACCTGACAACACAAAAAACAGAGAAACCTCAAAAATCATCAATCTTGTATGAACAACTTTTTTCATTAATAAAAATTGCATAGGGTAAATTATGAACCCCTTGGTCAGGTGATGGGGTGGAATCGGACTGATGGGATAAGAATTAGAAGTTCCGGAAAAATTCCGATTTTTTTTTCGGAAGTTAAAGACTAATTCTGATTCCTTTCCAAAAAAGAAAAAGGACATATTGGAAATTGGAACGAAAAAACTTGTTCGAAATTTTTCGAATTGGAATTCGGAAGATTCCAGTTTTTCAGTCACATAAAATATGAATGCATAATAATATATTGATATTATAAGTGTAATTTTTGGGGGGAAACGGAATTTTCAGACTTATATTTGGAAACTAAAATTGGACTAGAAATCAGAATCTCATATGCATATTCCAACTCCGGTCCTTTTTTTTTGGGGGGGAAAAATTGGAAATTGGAATTCAAAATGAATATAGTTCCATAATCGGAAATTTTCAGATTGGAATCAGCGGGAATCAGAAATTCCGTTCTCTCAACATATTTATGCTTGGCATTGGGAAATCACCAAAACTTTCAATGATGTTCGTTCAGCTAAAAAATAAAAACCAAAAACCAAGCAGTAAACATTTATATTTAACCTCACTCAAATGTAAAAAGTAAAAAATAAAAATACTGACCTGCATGGAAGAGTCTCCGTCCTTGTCAACAGTTTTCCCCTTTGCAGAATTTGGCTCTGCTTTCTCGGTACTTGCTTTCTCAGCCTCTTTCTTAGTAGCTCTAGCTTTGGCTCTCACCGAAGTTGATAAAACTGCGGTCGGTAGCTTAACAGCTGAAGCAGTGGTAGGTACAGTAGTAGGCTTTGGGTATTCGAACAACGATGGTTTTGCGTGCGATAAAAACTCAAACTTCGGCACTTTCAGGTCATAGTTCAGACCAATTAAAGCCGTAGGCGAAAAGGCCAAACTAACGAAGTAAATAAGTGGGTACCAATACCAAAATTGAGTGAACACAGCCAAACCAACAACAGCTGTCATCTTATCATGCTTCGTCTTCGAAAGCAGCTTGATAGTCACATTCCTTCCACCAGCATCGAGTATTCCCGAAGCTAAAATCGCACCCATTTTGGACATTGTATCCTCGTGCTTATCGAGGATTATTTTCTCCAATTGCCGCCTGAGCAGAAAAAGAAAAAAGGTGAGTTAAAAAAACATATATGTGTATATATAATATGTAACCGAATATGGAAGATATATTAATTAATCGAAGTACAGTAATTACCTGAATGCACCGACACGAGAGTCGCTAGCTTCGCTGATCTGTACCATGACCATCGCCATTGCAATTAGAGCACCTTGACGAACAAAGTCAACAACATCTGAAGTCAAAGGCTCGAGCAGTGATATGGCCTCACTAAGACCAGTACCAGCACAAGAAATTCCAACTGCCATTGCAGCTCCATATCGTACATGTGGGTTGTAAGATTCAGACAGCAGCGAAACAATTCGAGGAGTCTGCATTTAGGAGGATAAGCTTAGCATCACTAAATTAAAAGATTATCTTTGTTTGGAAAATCTTGGCAGTTAAGGACTAACCTGTTCAGGTTCAGAATAAAGAACAAATCCGAGGGCAAGAACAGCTGTCCTCCTGACATCATCGCTGACATCAGAAACAGCAAAGTGCAGCAGTTGGCGTATAGCCTTATTGTTTGCTGTTCCCCTGTATGCCAATGCAATAGCATACATTCCACCATATCGCAAAATAGGGTCTTGATCTCGAGTCATCTGCTCAATAAGTGTGTCTGCTTCTTCCTCTCTTCCATACACAGTAAGTGCAATACCTAATGCCAAACCCCTGGTAACAACAACATTGTAATCATTAGGAGAAATAATTGACGAATAATAAAAGACATGGTCAAATATCAGCCTCAGATGCAAAAAAAAAATCAATAAAATTACCTAATAATCTTCTCGTGTTGTGTCTCATGCGCGTAAGCAAGCATTTCACTCGCCTTCTCACTTGCAGTTCCGACCATCAATAAACCCATACTTATACCAGCAGCTTCACCAGCAACTGCACTATCAGTGTACAGAACATTCTTTATTTCATCAAAGATTTCATCATCGGCTGTCCCCAAAGCTGCCAAACCAAGACCTAAGCAAGCACCATGTTGAATAACCTGCACACATTTTTAGCATATGGTTAATGGATAGAAAATAAATGCAGGAAAACCAATATAATAACATCACTTGTATGGAAAAGCACACACCTCAACATTTGAACTACGCAGACTCTCACGAAGAAATTGTTTAATTCCCTCCCCATGGTTTGCATGGATTAAACCAAGAGCGTATAATGCTCCACCTTCAGAATATGGACTGCCGCCGCCACCTGACCCACCTTGCGGCAAGTAAGGTGCCATGAGCGATCTTCCTTGCTGGAGATGGCCTTTGTGGATAACCCCAAGTCCTGCAGTTGCACTGAATTTAGCCCAGTTTGTGGCCCTGCTCAGCCAGTCCTGACATTTCAGAATTCAGATACAATATTAGTAAAGAGAACAGAATCTACGGCAAAAAAAAACAATGGAAAATTATTGAAAAATACCAGATTTTCACGAAGGAATGTATCCACGGTTGTTCCAGCATGCATGATAGCATTTGCGTATATAGTTGCGCTATGGCAAACACTATTTCTCATCTCAACAGACTGCTTTATGGTCTTGAGAATGAGAAGATCCGATCTGAAAGAAGATAAAGCAATCATTTTTTTGTCAGAGCATGAGAGGTGAATTTCATTAGTGTCAATATCCAATACTAGGAAATTAAGTGGATGGGGAATATTGACTCACTTGTTATGACTGTATAAGAATTGCAGAGCCAGACGTATAGAAGTCTCTCCAGACAAAACTCCTCTTATTTTTGTTAACCTCTCAGCATAGATTACTTCAAGTGGATCAGAAGTTATTGCGCTTCCATCTACTTGAGCTCCATCGGTCATTTGAACATCCTCTGATGTGACAGCATTTCCACTTTGAGCAGGCTCTGGCTGAGCAGACCCTGACGGCACAGCTGGCTCAGAAGGCTGTAATTTGGCACTGGGAAGCCCATCTCTTACTTTCAAAAGGAAAGCTTGGTGCTCATTCTCCACCAGATCAAATGCTATTTGAAATGCCAACAGAGCCTCATCCACATCTTCAGATCGTAAGAGTTGCTCCAATATGTTTGCAACAGCCTCGGGTTCATCCAAAAACATTAGGCGCTGACAAACGCTCAGGAAATCAGGAGATGGCAGTTGCTGATATACTTTGACAAGGAGACGGAGCACCTGTTTAGAATTAAGGAGAAGATTGTCAGTTTGTTGTCTTTGAGTGAGGAAGAGATGTACACAGGACATCCAAATGAAGAAATTGGCCAATTGAAAAGGGAGACAGTTTTTTTTCGGTTAAGGGAAACGAAACTAGTTTGTAGTCTAACATCTTCATATTTTATTTCTTTTTCGAGGGTTGAAAGAGCAAGGTGGGTGTTGACAACCTAAACCTATATATAAGAAGCAGGCTAAGGCCTCCCTGTTTTAGAAACAACAAATCCGTGCGACTGAACTTATAACTAAACAAGGAAAGGGAAACATGCATGAGCTAAACATCATAATCTAATTTAAATCTTCATAATCAGAAAATTAAAAATCCATTAAATTTAAGAACCACTCCGTAGTTTTGGGTTTTACGAGCAATGGATAATAATGATTAAAGATATTGTTCGATCAAATGACATTGTTCGATCAGGTCTTGCTGAATAAAATTCATTCCTCGGACTATTAGCATATGATGAAAGATCTGTAGATACATGACTAGGAATGTAGTAAATAAGATTACCTCAAGACGATATTCTCTTCGGTTGACAAAAGAATGAGAGACATCAATGCAATAATTAATAGTGGCATGAACGTTATCACTCCTTATAACTGCTTCTTCAAGTTTATCCAATCGTCTGCACTCGATGGCCATTCCAATAGCTTGTTGGAATTTTCCATCCGATATACATCTGCAAGGAAAGGGAGAGAAAAGACGTCAAATGAGCCAAAGAAACCACATTAATTAATACATTGGCAATACTAAGATATACTTGACGTACTTGTCAAGCATTCGCTCCACAATAGCCTCCAGTCTTGGGTCAACCACTGCAGATGCATCATTCGACTCAGCTGCTTTAGTCTTCAGACTGGCATATTCATCAATTGCTTTGGCTGAAGGATATAGAAGAATAAAAAAATGTTAGAAGTAGGAAACACCGAAAATGAGACTGTTGTAACTCTTTCATAAATTATACCCTACTCTTGTTTTCACAAAACAATGAGGGAGCATTTTTTTATATAAATTTCAATGCGAGAGGTGAGGGGAAAATAAATTCTTACCAAGAAGAGTATGGACATAGTCTGAATCCTCTGACACATCAAACTGAGGACCAGCTCCCAGGGCATACGATAATGAGTCATTGAGTTCACCCAGATAATAGAATACCTAATGAGAGAATACATTATACTTTGTTGATGAATAATGAGAGAGAGAGAGAGGGAGAATTTTCTTAACCAGCAAAAATTCCAAAATTATTCTCTCATAAATTTTCTTTGGATGTTCCACGTCTGACTAGAACTACTATATGAAGAGTAACATTGCAAATGAATATCGTCAAACAACTCCTCAACTTTTATGAGGTTTTAATAATGTTAAAAAGTTTCAAACATATAGTTTCTATGGATTCTTATATTTCACAATTTTGTACATTTTTTCATACATGAGACAAAAGGAGTACTCAGTACGTTCTATGTGTCTTAGTTAATGTGATCAAAAGCATATGAAGACTTCTATACACGCATGCTAGCAAAAAAAATGCCCTAGGTAAATTGGTATTATTCATGTTAGGAACAGAAAACTCAAAATGAAAACACCAGAAAATTGATCATTTGATGGACTAAAGACAACGGCAATCGGATGAAAACTCTAGCAACTAAAACCAAACACACACAAATGTAGCTTATAGCACTAATGTGATAATGAAAAAGAAGAAAAAAAAAAAACAAATACTACCTTTGAGACAAGCAATGCAGCGAGTTGCCTCTGTTCAAACTCTTCGTCCTCATATAAACTTTCTCTGCATTCAGAATAAGGGAATAGATTATTATACATTCTTTACAAAGCATCTCGTAAAGAAGAGCAGACCAAGGATAGTGAATAAAGATCTCTCTAAGTGACCAAGAGCCGAAAAGATGCAAAAAGCTGAAGCAATGACATTATTAAACACCTCTAGCAACATAGAGCAACATAGCTCCAGACTACGCTAACGACCTGAAACTGTCTGCAAGTAGAAATTAAGCACTACAACAATCAAGGTTAAATACTCGAACAATCTCAAGATGTAGATCTCTTCACAATTTTTCCTCCAGTTCACCTTATTTCTAATATTGCAAACAATCCAAATGTGAAACGGTTCCCAAGCCTACCCATTACTACTACCAACAATGGAAAGTACAAACTCAACAAACTAAAAATAAAAACTCATCCGCAAACGAAGAAACAAAAATCTGAACAGAACAATTAAACCCAACACCCAATAGAACACTGAACTTTCAGCAATACAATTTCATAAACTCCCGATTCTCCAACAAAAATCCCACACCGACAAAAAAAAAAAACCCTAAATTCCTCACTACAGAAAACAAGCCAATCAAAAACAACAAAAATCGAACTAAAAACAAACCCTAATTCACATAATTAAAGAGCGTGCGTACATGATGGGGACGGAGGTGGAGATCTCCGGCCAGAAGTAGTCAACGTAGGTATTGAGATTGGAGAGGGCGTGTAGCTTAAGAGCCGGGTGGCTCTCGTTCAGCATCGCCAGTAGTCCACCGGCGGAGCTCACCATCGTCGCCGCCGCAGCCATTGTACGTAATTAGGGCTTGGATCTGAACGGAGTTCGATTACAGCAGAAAAATACTAGAGAATTGAAATCGAAAGAGCGAAATGGTTTCAGAGAGTTGGGTAACAAATTGAGAGGGTTTTCTTGAAGAGAAGGGCAAAGTGGTGTGTATAAAAGAGAAGAGAAGAACCGATTTTTACCAATTAAGATTTGTTACTTCTTTTTTATAAATAATTAATAATTAATAAAATAAAAGAGTTTGAATCGGGTTATGGGCTTTCAGTTTGGGTTAAGAATATGGGCCGGGCCACTTAATGGCCCGTGAAGGATAAATAGCTGTAATTTTATTCTTTTTGTAGAAATTCAGTTTAATATTTTTATATTCAACGTTGAGAATTTATAGATTATTCATTGGGAAAAATACAGTTTTAGCCATTTAAGTTTGCACCGATTTCACATTTGGTCCCTCGTGTTCACAGAAAACATATTTGATCCCCTGTCTATCAAAAATTCAACACTTTTAGTCGTTTTCGTCAATTTCCCGTTAAAAATAACGAAACCAAGTGTGTGCCCATCAATACATTAACTAACGGACTAACAATAAATTGACGGAAATGACCAAAAGTGTTAAATTATTAGAACATAAGGGACCAAATGTGTTTTTTTGTGAATATAAAGGACCAAACGTGTTTTTTTTGTGAACATGAGAGACCAAATGTGAAATTAGTACAACTTGAGGGATGAAAACTGTAATTTCCCCATTATTATCATTGTTTTAAGGGTGAAAATATGATGGATCAGGTAAAAAACAACATTTTCAAGAAAATAATCAATTTGAAAAATCTATATTTTTGGTTATCTGTTAAAAATCGAATTTATTGGTTCATGCTCGATTTTTGTTGACCCGATCCATGATCACTCTTAGATAAAACGTCTCCTCTTATATTTATCATTTTAAAATAATTTTAAAGAAGCTAATCGAATTACTATTTGATAGATTATAAATATCATCACACGAAAGAAGTCAATAGAACTTAGATTAAAATCATAGTGCTACTTAAATGTGATATCAATACTTTCTAAGTCGAGCTCGTCGTATATAATTTATCTGATACAATTTGGAGGCTATTGCAGTATAAATTCAATTTACCCAATTCACATACAATATGTAGTAGCTATCCAATTTCTTTATAAGAGAAAAAAAAAATATGGCATATGACATAATTAAATTTAGCTACTCCCCCAAAAACTACTATAAAAACCAGCCCATTTATTTTATCCTTTTTTTTTTCTTTTGGCATCTATTATTTATTATTATTTAATTAATGTATATATTTCCAAAACAAAAATAAGAATTTTCATATGTATACGTTGCTTTCAACTTGACTAATCCCACCCATATATGTGACAAAATTATAGTATTATTAAAATCTATATAATAATTAACTGATTCCTAAAATTGCAGCATCCAAAAGCTTACCATCTATATATAATTAAGATACATACATGTACAATAATTCAACTACACAAATCAAGAAAGATATTTTTTTGTTAAAGAAAAATAATGGGGATGGAAAGCAAGATGTTCAGCTATTCAGAAGTTTCTGCTCACAACTCTTCTGAAGATTGCTGGATCATCATCAATAGCAAGGTATTTATTTTAATTTCAATATCTCAATTATTGTATATTTTCTTCATTTTTTTTATTTTTTTTCGTTTTTTTTCAATCAAAATTTTATTTTTTGTTTGAATTTCCGATGATTCAAGAATTAGTGAATAAAAAACTGGAAACGATTAGACGAGGCCTGATTAAATCGAAAATTGTAGGTTTATAACGTCACGAGCTTCTTAAACGACCATCCTGGTGGTGACGACGTCCTATTAGGACAAGCAGGTACTATATATTCCCGATTTATGAGATGCTATACCTGGTGAAAAACATCGGATGATTTTACACCATAGATCTATATACATAATTATATGAGTGTGTGCTATTATGTGTAAATCAGTGGTGCATAAATAATGAAAAATGTTAGCTACATAATTCCATCGATTTCAATTTTCATAGGCAAGGACGCAAGTGAAGAGTTCGAAGACGTAGGTCACGGCAGCGCAGCCAGATTAATGTTGGACGAATTCTACGTCGGAGAAGTCGATCCAGCCTTGAACCGCCCCACAACCACCACAAACACAGCCCTAGCTCCGGCAATAGACATCAAGCATAATTCGCCGAAGTCGAACAATAAATTTCTCTATTTCCTATTGGCCCTTACGGTTATAGTATTCGGTGTGGGTATTAGCTTCTTCAATTTTTCAAGCTCGACTTATAGTCAAACTTGAAGAAACTGGAGAGTCGGCAACTTGAGAGACTGACGCTTGCAGGAAGCGCAACACGGTTTCTTCAACTTCCTTTTGTTCAATTGTACCATCTGATAAGCTTTATAAATGATAAATCATATGTTATATAAGTGAAGTCATTATTACTGTATTTTTTGTATAAATGGCTAATTAAATAAATTAAAAAAAAAAAAGTATATATCCACGGAAGCTTTCAGACATCATCATCAGAACTCGATAATCTCAAGTTCGTCCTATCTGAAGCATCGTCGGACAGGCTGGGAAGTCTGGGACCTATTAGTTCGGTGCTGTCCACGTCAGCATCATTCATGGAATAATCTCCGGAATCTTCTTCGTCTCCGAGGCTAAATCCAAAACCAGGTGGTTGTATTTTTTCAAACTGGTGTTCTTGAGTGTGCCGCTGGTTAAATCGACCTGGAAGCTTCGAGGGAGTGCTGTAGCATCTCTCGCAAAGGTCGAATCCTATTTCTTCGACACAATCTTTGCATCTGTACCGCATTCCAATGATCGGAGACATCTGCATATACTCATGGATTTTAGTATCCGATTTAATTTTTAATAATGCCCAAGAAAAGATATAATATAAGAGAGAAAAAAACAAAAGATGATTGTATTACCCCACAGTAATCACAACCAACCGTTGGATGAAAGTTAGGGTAATTTTCGGAAAACCAGGGTGAGTAAGCATTTCTCGGTACAGATGAACATTTAGCCGCATGCTCCTGTTTTTCTGGTGTACCTTGTAGCAATAAAATAATAGAGAAATGTAAGAAATGGTGAAGTGGAAAAAAAAACGAAAAACGAGCAGCTACACTATACACTATACACTAGAACCTCGATAAATTAATTAATACCCGATAAATTAATAACCTTAAGGATTACTTCGTTAAGTTATTTAACCTCGATAAACTAGTACCCCATAAATTATTAATACCCGTTAAGAGTTTTTTACCAACTAATAAGCATTTCTCGACATCGAAAATTCCACTTGCAAAAGAATTACTTATTTAAGTCAACTGACGAACAAAAACACAAAGGAATGTTGTGCCAAAAAACCAGTATGAGATAATGAACTAAAACCTTCGAGAGGTATAAAAAACACAAGATACACAAAAATCAGAAGACACTTACTTCCAGAAGGACTAGCTCTAGAAACTTTAGGTAACGATAGTTTCCTTGCAGAATATTCTTCGGGAAAACGGTTCTCCAGAAAGTGGTCAAGAACTAAGCACACATTAGGGACCCCGTTTGGATGTGCACTTCCACACGTTGGACATTCACAAATACTGCTCCGTGGAGGACAAATACAAGTTTCACAATAAACTGCAACGAAAAAAGATAAACCAAACAAATAAGCATCAAACGTTATACTGAATCTCTTCGACATTTTTTAAATCGACTTTACCATGTCCACAGTTTAGAACTACAGGACGGCATATTAGTTGCTTGCAAACAGTACAGTGTAAGTTGGCTTCGTTGTTAATAGCTGATGGCTTATCTTCACAAGGAGAAGGTCTTTTGGAAGAATCTTGAACGAGCGAGTGGTCCCCACCACATGTGTCTTGATCGTCAAGTACTTCGCTAACTTGAGAATTAACTAAGTCGCTGTCAAACTGTGGAGATATATATCCATATTTCTCTTCTTCTTCTGAAACAATTCAAAAAGAATCTGTTTGACTACTCAACAGCTTTAAGGGAAGGTAAAGATAAAATTAAAATATATCTATAATAGAGGAGATATACTCTTCAATCGTTACCGTGTTATAGTACGGGCGAGTGTAAATGACAATGGAAGGCGTAAAAAATCACTTAGACTAAAGTAATCGTTCTGCGAACGAACACTAATTACGATAATCTTTTTAGCTCCTCTAAAACTAAATCTCATTATCACAGGTGGGGGAAACTAAATCAAGAATCATGATCCAGGGAATTTAAAAAAAAAACATACATGGTGAATCATTTGAAGTGCCAAATGAAGATTATAGTCAATATTAAAACTCGAATAGGAAATCAACAAGAACCGCACCTGCGACTTGTCTCTGCCTTCTTTTGTAGGCTAATGGATACGATTTCAGAAGCAATAAGTGCAACAATTCACAGACTCCGGGAAAATGATTATACGGGTGTCGACAGACAGGACAGTGAGACTCTTGGTAATCATCCATGGCATGAAATACACACCCAAAGCACGAAACATGGCCACAAGCTGAATTTCCAAAAAAAAAATCGAAAAACGAAAAATTTAAAGATTAGTTTTTCAAGTGAACAACAGCTGTTAATAATATATTATATGTATAGTACAAACTATATTATGCAATCCCTCATACCTAACACCACAGGTTTGTACATGATCTCCCTGCAAAAATCAAGAGAAGAAATATTGAAATAAATCATCATACGACACCGTATAGATAAAAACTCAAACCGCCATGAATTCAATTCAATTGAAACGAAACAAAAATTTTCTTCAATAATTCTCGTAAAAACCCCCAACAACAATGCATTCCGCCTGGTTTTAATTCGTCTGATTTCAATTTGATCGTGGGTGTTAAAAATCCAATTAATGACGAACATATCAGAGATCAAATTGAACAATTACCAGAAAAAAAAAAAAAAAAAAAACTTACAGACACACACAACACTGGAAATCATCGGGGAATTCTTCATCGTCCAGCTCGCGATCATCACCATTTTTACCTTGATGCTCCATCTCTAAATCCCTGAAATCACTAAAATCGAAATAGTGTGTATAAAATCGAGAGTTTGAATCTCGGTTAGCAGCAGTGAGAAAGTGTTTTGGGCTTTGAATTTTTGTTCCGATTTGGGCCAATGTTGGATTAGGGTAATCATGGGCCGTTGAAGTGAGATGTTATAATTGAGTTCTTCACAAGTAATTTATTTATTTTAGGGTAAATAGCACTTTAACCCCTATGGTTATAAGTTTTTGCAGATAACCCCTTGTGCTCGTAATATCAGCACATAATCCCTTGTGGTTACAAGTTTTTGCATATGGCCCCCTTGTGCTCGTAATATCAGCACACAACCCCTTTGTGGTTTATGGGGTAGCTTCCGTTAGTTTTTCCCTCAAACTTAACGCGTGTGTCAAGCTTCAGGGGGGGTCATCAGCAAAAATGAAAGCACAAGGAGATCGTCTGCAAAAAAATATTTTGCTGTTTGACACTTACTGTACTGTTAAGTTTGACGGAAAAACTAAAAGGAGCTACACCGTACCATCAACCATGCACGAGGGGTTATGTGGTGATATGAAAAGCATAAAGAGGTCATCTGCGAAAGTTTATAACCATGGAACGTGTTATTTACCTTTTATTTTATTTAATTTAATTTATTTTTAATTTTATTTAAATTTAAATTTTATTTTATTTTACTATAATTGTATTTAGATTTGTAAGTTATACCAAACAAAATATTTGCATGTGACCTTTCTATTCAGAAGCCTTCCTTTTAATCAAATTTGCAATAAATTTGTTCATCAATGCCAACTACCAACAAAATTGAATAAGTCAATGATTTTATTATTTATCATCATTACTTAATCTCTACATATAATTAATTCCATATGTCCATGTTTTAAAATTTTATTTTATGCAACATATATACAGCAAAAGCTAATATTAAAAGAGAGGACAAATAAATAAACTTCAACTTTAACTACATATTAAAAAAAAAAAATTATGGAATAACAATTAAATTATATATTACTGTATACAAGTGCTTCAAACAGTAGGGTTTTTTTTTTCTTTTTTTTGATATCAAATTGCATTTTGCCATTTCCTGGAAAAAAAGAATCTGGATGTAATCATAAATTTATAATCCCTAAAAAGATATATATATATATATATATATCGTACTAAAACATGAGATAGTGAGATAGAGACTAACATATAAAATTTTCCAAGCGAGCATTAATGAGAGCAAGAAAAAGTAATATATAGATGTCAGCATAAATATAACTCAATTAGTTTCGGGATGGTAAGTTGGTGCACGATCCTAGAATCGAATACGGACATACAGCCGCAATGCGCGTGAAAATTTTAACTCAGATGAGAGTTGGTTTCTTGTGCGCATTAGATCCAAAAGCGTAACCCTGAACGCGGAATATATATAATAAAATTCAATCCAAGTTGATTAGCTTGACTGATATATGGATAGGAATTAGAGAAA